GATGAAGTCTTTTAAAACCCCCCCCCCCCCAAATATACATATCATACTGTAATAATAAAGCATTAATATTAATAAAGTAATAACAAAGTATTGATATTATTACTATATTACTATTACTATATTATAAATAATAATAATCATCATCATCATCATAATATATAATGTGAAGTGTTATACTATAATAATAAAATATTAATATTATTATATTAAATTATGTTGTTGTTGTTGTTGTTGTTAAATTATTAATTTTTACCAGTTACTTTAGAGTATATATTTTACTAATATTATATAATATTATTATATTATACTAAATAATAATCATCATCATTATCATTATTATAATCATATTATGTTGTTTTTGAAAAATTATTATGGTTATTAGACTATATTATATATTATACTAAATAACAAAAACCACAATAACAATTATTATTATTATTTTGTTGATGAATTTTTATAGTTTTTACCAATTATTATTAGAGTATATTTTATACTAATAATATATACTATTACTATATTATAAATAATAATAATCATCATCATCATCATCATATATACTGTGAAGTGTTATACTATAATAATAAAGTATTAATATTATTATATTATGTTGTTGTTAAATTATTCATTTTTACCAGTTACTTTAGAGTATATATTTTACTAATAGTATATAATATTATTATATTATACTAAATAATAATCATCATCACCATCGTTATTATAATCGCATTATGTTGTTTTTGTTAAAGTATTATGGTTATTAGACAATATTATACTAAATAACAAAAACAACAATAATTATTTTATTATTATTATTAATTTATTTACTTTGTTTCAGTCACTATCTTTGCCTTGTTTTCCAGTAAATGTATCTAAATATCCTTTACTTGAGATGCAACATTTCACAAGCTATTAAGATAAATGTTCAAGAATATTTCTCGAATTAAATTTATTTTTCTTACCCAACTGGCAAATTGTGACGTTTATGATTATAGCAAGACAAAATAAAGTTATATCAAGATATATTCCAACAGGTCTTATTATCTACCATAATTTTGCTTCTCAGTGTCTATTTATCTTGATTTAAAATACTGATTTGAAATATTTTTATATATATTTTGTATTGAATTGTTGACTGCAGACTTGATAATCATATATTTTGTCTCTGTTTGTCTCAGCGTGTATGTGAAACTGGGTTCAGACCAGCCGTTTTCCCAATGCATGCTGGGACTTGAGACAGCGGCGCATCAGAGAGAGTGTGCAGCCGGAGGGAAGATCAGCGGAGACTGCAGCAGATGCACCAACCCCGTCAACTGCATCACCTGGTGCAAATCTACCCTGGTCAGACACACCACACGGCCTCAGCTGTAACGCATACTTCACCTCCATCCTTACATATCTTTGATCCCACAGTTTGATCTGTCCAAGCCCATTCCTCCGGCTCCGGTCCCCACCGTGGGCTCAGGCGTCCTGGCGTGGGGTGGAGAGTTCAGTCCTCCGGAGTCTCCTCCCGACAGAGATTTCTTCCCCGACTACATTGTCACCGTCATCGTTCCCTTGGCTCTGGTTTTGATCCTCTGTCTCCTCCTGTCCTACATCATGTGCTGCAGGAGAGAGGGAGTGTATGTACAGTAGACTCATGTTTTGGACAAAAAAACATTTAATGCTGTTTGAATGACCATTTTAAGTTTTCTTTTCTCTTTGTCTTTGTTATTTTCAGTCTGAAACGAAATGCCAAGACTCATGAGTAAGTACCTGTATCACCACCACACAGTATGTTATAGTCAGTGGACATATTGATAATTTTTTAAAAAGGGGTCCTATAATGCGTTTTCACTTTTTCAACTCTAGTTAGTTTGTAATGTTGCTGTTTGAGCATAAAAAAGATCTGCAAAGTTACAAAGCTCAAAGTCCACTTCAAAAGGAGATATTTTATTTAACAGAAATCACTTTTCAAAAACTACAACGAACGACTCGTTTGGACTACAACGCATATTTTCCGGGATTTGTGATATCACAAATATCAACGAATGGGACGAGACCTGGTTGAGCTGCACTAGAGAAGGCAACGAGTGTTATCACTGTGTCGGAGACACGCTAGCTTTCCCAAGGCAGACGAACTTAGAGTGCTTACAATCATCCGGCCTATTTCAGAAGGCGGGCCTTCATTTGATACAGGAACTATTCGAGCCATTCATGCCAGACTGGGGAGAGAGATGTTTTTAATAATGTAAAATATGTGAAAAATAATGTGTTTTTCGAACAACCTAGTATGAGAGCCTGTTCTAGTACACCCCCCAAAACAAAATCAAGACTTTGTAAAAGAGCATAATAGGACCCCTTTAAGAAAAGACACTCCAGGCAAAACCATTGTTTGTTTGTTTTTTTATGAGATTTTGGGCTACATGTCGTCTTTCAGAATAGTGGGAAAAAACATCCAAAATATTTTAATAATAACAATTACATTGCCCTGCATCATATTTGCTGGTTGAAAACCTTGTTTCCTTTTAATTATGATGTGCTGATTCTGAAAATAGTGTCTATTTTGCTTGAGCACGTCACACTTTCTCAAAATATGCATTTTGTGGCATTATTGCTTTTGACAACTATTTGTAAGGTGATGAAGTCTCGCATTCTCCCTTAATCAATGAAAAAAAAAAATGTGATGGAAAGTTTTTATTGATATTTTTGAACTCAGCATCATCAAATTTGGTATTAGGCTTTTTTTTTCGGCAATTCAACATTATTTTTCTAGACACAGGGCTGTTATTGTTGTCTGTTGATTTGAGTTGCAATACATATCTTTAAAGGCCATTTCCTCAAAATGAGTTCATAAGAAAGTGTTTCTCAGTGTACTGTGAATAATTAACTGGGGAAGTATAGTGATATCTATTAGCTTTTACCCTTTTCACCTGTGGTGCCTGAGCAAATTTTCCCTTTTTCTCATCTCAGTCTGCAGCTCTATCATCACCACACCATCCAGGGTAATGCCAACGAGCTGCGCAGGATGGCCGGCGGAGACAGGCGCACCGTGGATCGTCCTCGGCAGTGCTTACAGCCGCTCCTCATGGCAGAGCAGGCAATGGCAGAGAGCTGAGGGACATCAGAGCCAACTTTAATAGCCACTGTCTGTGGAAATGTGTTTAAGGTTCACTTTTTGTTTCTTGCTTTGTGTTTCTTCAAGGAATACGTCACTCAAAAATGAACATTCACCCAATAATCCCCCCAAAAATGTTGTTCCAAAACCATATACTGTTGTTTTTTCCATGAAAGCATAAAAGGAGCAGTTGTTAAACTCCAGAAACATATAAAAACCATAGAAACTATAAAAACCATAGCTCCAATTGAGCTGTGCTGCTGTGCAGTATATAATCAGTGATTTAAAGTATTTGTGTGATTAACTAATTGAATTAAAGCTTATATCACTGTCAGTTTGCATTGGTCAAATCTGACTAATAATCAGTTTAACCCTCTGGTGGTCTTTGGTCATACGGTCACGTCAAAAATAAAAAATGCATTTTGAATTTTTGGTACAAATAAAATGTGGACACTATTACAAACGGCTAAACGGTCTTGTGATCTTCACAGTCAAAAATAACTGGAAATACTAAAAATACAAAATACACAAGTAAATATTTAAGAACAAATATTAGAGAACAAATATCACTGCAACAAAATATAGTATATTTATTTAATTAAAAATGCTTATTCTTTCATCTCTTTTGACTGCCGAGGATCACAAATGAAAGTGAGGAATACCCGAGGGTTAAAATTAGATTGTGTTTTATTAACGTCTACACCTACCCCAACCCTAAACCTACCCCTTACAATAATGCAAAAATAGTAATTATTGTTGTACAGTGTGAGAAAAATTACGCTATATTGATGTAGTTTTTGCTGTATCCCTTCTAGCCTTAAAGGGTTAGTTCACCCAAAAATAAAAAAAATCAGGCTGTGTTTTACTCACCCTCGAGGCATCCTAGATGTATATGACTTTCTTCTTTCAGTCGAATGC